ACAAAACAAAACAAAACAAAAAGAAATAAAAAAAATTGTGAATAAATATAATGCTTATTGAATTAATTAATTGAATTATAATTTATAGAAAAAAATTAATTAATTGAACGCTTCAAACACAAACTCAGTTATAAATTAAGCAACATTTTAACTCCATTATTCACATTTATATCCAATTGTCAGAAACCTGACGAAACAGTTGGAAATTTGCGACAATGTATTAACTGCTGTTTATCAAATAGTCCTCTAGTAAATTAAAATCATTTCCTCTCGTAGAACTGTGTTACATTAACTAAATGACTAACTCCAATAGTTTGTCCTTCTCGGTTACCCTCGCCTCTGTCGATGCGCAAAGAAAATCCTTTGTGCCGAAGCAAAAGCGCTCGAAGAAAAGGCGCACGGAAGTTTGCCATCGGCTTTGCTCTTTCACAATGGGATGTGTGGAGGCTGAAACACCCACACAAGAGACACCGCTTTACTCGACAATTTATCTCATTTTAGCCGTATATAATACAACTCGAGGCGGTATATACTGCATGTGCAACAAAAGCAAGTAAAAATTTTTAGTTCTTTAAATAAATTAGAAATTATTTATATTTTCTCGTTGTTTTTTTTTGTTTTTTTTTTTTTTTGTAATTGAGAAAATAATATCTTTTTATGTATATTGTGGAGCCGGAATTTACAATCGCTAATTAATGAGATATATATATATATATATATATTTTTTTTTTTTTAATTCGATCTCCACTCGATTTCATTTGTAATTTCATTGCCTTGTATTTTATTGTCTAATTTATAATAATTAAATTAAATTCAATCCAACGATGTATAATTGTAAAGGCTAAATGGTGCCGTTACAATCCTAAGATGCAATATCGGATTCGAGTATGATTTATTGACCTAAACGAGCGAGCACTTCCGCTTGAATAGGGCTTAAAGAACGGCATCTACCACCGGACATGGAGGATTAGCAATTTTCCTTAAATCTGAAGCGAAAATGTGAGAAAAGGCGGAAGTCCTGGAGTATTCCTGATCTGTTAATTGATGCACATTGGATGATACGTGAAAATAATCTATTATTCACTTAATATAGCTTTTTAGTATAATTATTTATCTATCTTTATTTAGCTACTCTCTCTCTCTCTCTCTCTCTCTCTCTCTCTCTCTCTCTCTCTCCATTCTCGTAACCTCGTTTTTAATTATAAGTCAATAGAAATTTGTTTTTTATAATAATTCAATATATTTTGTGATGTTGATAGTGGAGTTATCTGAAATCTCCGGTAAAACTTTCTTATTCAACTGAAGAAATCTATTGACAGAGTATATTCTATTAATTAATAGATATATTTAAAAGTAATTATTAATTGAACTGTTAATAAACATTTAGCATGATATAACCAACGTTATAAATAATCAACATTACTATTACTTTTACACACATCGAATTTTATAACTATTAAGTTCACAATGATATTAACAAAATGAATATATTAATTGTAAAATAGTTTTAAATTATTTTTGGAATGAATCTGTCATAATTGTAAGTAAATAGATTGTAATGTAAAACATTGTTAAACGATAACATTAATGATAAAATTCAAGATTTTCCCTGTATTTCGAATACATTTGAATTGTGTTAAAGCTCTGGAGCAGAAATATTTATCATTTCAACATATCACAAAATATTATCATTTTTACATTAAAACGAAAGATTATACAATTTAATAAAAGCAATCGTCTTTAAATTAATTATCAACTTTATAAATCTAGAGTATCTACAAGTGACGGAGAATATGATAAAATTTTGTGATAAAATGTGAACGGTAAAATAGTAGACCTGAGAAAGATAATAGACAATGAGCGCAGTATACACGTACAATAATTGTTACATCTCGTATGTAAAATAATTGTAACGCAATGAAGTATAATAAATAAAAATGATAATACATTATACATTGATAAATAAAGTTATCAAATTGCAATGTTAAGTAAATAATAATAAAGTTTTTTAAAAAATTTTCTGGTGATTAGACAATTCTCAGCTTGTGTATTGATTCATTTACAGTAATAATACATATTATCGATTAAAGCCTGGAGAAATTTTACTTATAAAGAAAAATGGTTATCGGTTTTTAAAGTATTAGATAATTGTAATGCTATATATAGCAAATATGTAGTAGATAACGCAATTGTACTTTCTAGGATTAATGCCATGACTATATAGTAAGTTTGCAATTAATTAGTTTAGTAATAAGTAAAGAATGTGAAATAAGTATTTATTGTAAAAGTTGTAAAATAAAATAAATAAAATAAACACATATGTGTTTATACGCTCATTATGTTTACGTTTTCGTGTGCGTGTGTTTGTGTTTGTGCGCGGCTCGCGTCCCAAAAGTAAATTTACTAATAAATAAACAAATTATGCAGCATACAACGCTGACCTAGATTCTATATATTCAACAAATATTTTTAATTATATCCTTAGACTTTATAAGTATTGTATTGTTAATAGAGTATCTTACGACATCGATTAGTCAAAGTATAATTAGCACTTTATTGTATCGCAGAGCTGCATAAGATATTCAGAAATATATCATTTATTATCATTTACAATCCCCGACTACGAGTCTTACTTTCTGTAATTCGATGGCAAACAATTCAAGCTGAATTTCCACTTCAAATGCAGTTACAATTTGAAACACATTGTTTATCGTATGAAAATGTCAGCTAGAACGTAGAATGGAAAATCGGATCGATGTGACATTTATATAAAATTAATATTAATCTAATAATATTACTCAATATGTAAATTTTTTTTTTGTTGGTTCTTTCGTTTGAAACATATAAATGTTAGAAATTTACTTTTTATATTTCTGATTCATAATGTCGCTTAATTTCTAATTCACAGAGACGAAGAAAACTATTTTTATTCAAAATTCTGCAGCACATATATAATTTCTTCAAAGAATTTCTTTGTCCTGTAATTGTGTACTTATATTTTTCTTTACTATGTTCAAGAGCTTTAAAAAAAAATTAATAAGATTTTCAAATAATTTTAGTTGTACTTGGGCCAACAATAAAATGAGATTAATTCACCTATTAAAATAATTCTTACAGCTTTAAAGTTCTAAAATATATGCAATTGAACCTCTCCTTGTCATACTATATAATCTACAATCCGTTACGTAATATAATACGAAATATATTCCATTAGTGAATGATATTCAGAAGTTAATACATTCGTTAATTAAAAATTTTAACATTTTTTTGTAAAAATTCCAACGAAAATTCTACGTACTTGCATTTTTATTAAATCTTAAAATCTTTATTATTATTATATATTAACAGTCCATAACATTATGTTTACAGAGTACATCAAATACAATACTACTCACCGAGTAATCACGTCGCAAAGTACAATTTGACATTTACTAGAGTGGCTAGAGATTATGAAGCTTTTTCATCTCGAAAGTCTACATGTACTAAACAAAACTCAAAAATCTTACGACGGTTTGAAAAATATTTATGGTATATTAAGTCCGAACTATCGTGCAGCCTTTCAATTCCTAAATATTTGTACCTCATAGTATCCTTCTGCACTCTCGATAAAAAATATTAAAGTCCAAAATCAAGAATTTTCCGCAATTTCCAACCCCGATTATTGGAATGTACTGTTAAATAAACATTCAAATAAACTCTTAACAAAACATGGGAATTTTACAGAATTTAATTTGCGCTATAATAGATAAATATTTCAAAATGTCTGTGCCATCTATAAAAGAACTTTCGTATTGCATTTATAAAAAAAATTTTTTCATGTAATTGGAAGTGCGAGTCAAAACGGGAGTCAAACAATATTATTTTTAAATAATCATTCTTTGAAAAACAAAGTATAAATATATATATATATATATATATATATATATATATACATGTATATATGTATGTACATCACTTGTTTTAAAAAAAAAAAAAGATCAAAGATTGTAAAATTTTTACATTATGTATTAGTCAATTAAACTTCATTGGATTATTTAATTTTAAGTTATTTTTGAGCAGAATCGAAAATCCAATGCGATAAATTCGTGTTCACAGTGTAACTTTATGATGTGTAAATTAGTGGCACGTGTAATTAAATCATCAATTACAGTTATGAAAGCTAATCAAAGCAGAGAGCCAATCAAATTAGAAATTTTACGGAACATGCGCATTACACGGAGAAAAAAGTGACATTCGTAATAAAAATTTTGTTTTGCCCCTCCCCCCTCCCCCACCCCACAAAGTGTAATATATATGAATTTATTTTTTCTATTGGATTAAACTTGCTTTTTTTTCAGACATTTGTGAAAACAGCTCACTTCTTGTAATTTTATTAAAAATATTCAATTAAGTATAATATCAAATATAAAATATAAACGATGAACTTCATACCTCTAAATTAATATTTAAATAAAACTTATTTCATATATTCATTATTGAATATATTTATGAACGATTTTTCTGTTAGATGTTTTGAAATAAAACTCATTATAATAAATTATAAAAGCATTTATTGAAAACACATTTATACAGTTTGTATTTATCATTTATTGGTATTAAAATTTGCAGTAAAATAGAGTTTTATAAAATAACAATCTTCTTATTATTTACAAATAGTTTTGTTTAATCATTCTTAAGATGATGTTAAAAATGATTTTACAATAACAATAAAAGTTTTTTAGCTATTAAAAATATTAATGCCAAACGTATCAAATTTTTAGTAGTAACTTTTGTACTTTATTCTATATAATAATGTATGAATTAAAAATACTATCGAATTTATGATAATCTAATACTTTGTGACATTTTGCTTGAAATAAGAATTATATGCAATATTTAAAAAAAAAAACAGTAAACGGATAATTTGATTGTATAAGAAAAATTGCAATATTCGATGTTAATTAAAAAAATTAAAAAATCTAGTTAATTCGTTGATGTTGATGTATTCTTTATGCATATTGTAGTTTTTACTTGGAGCGTAATACTGTTTGTATAACGTAGATTTTCGAATTTTTACTAAATATAAAATTTTTCTTAGTATAAAAAGATATTGTATTCTTATATAACAGTGTCGTGAGATTTATAGTTACTTCGGCTTTTTTCTTAACTTAAATATTCAATAACTTTAATGAATTTTTTTAATTTTTCATACAACTTTCAATTAATTTTCATTCTTTAATCAAATTCAGATTTTTTGTGCAACCATGTAGGATCTATGATCGAAAGGCTTCTAATATAACATCTATTAGTGAGGATAACATCAGTGAACAGCACCAATTGTGGTTTTATACCATGGAGCACCGAAGATGGATGAATGGTCACAGGATGCCTAGACGTAACCTAAACATTTAAAAATAATAATAATGAACATTTGTTTGTATCAAACATGTCGCTGATGATTGACTCGATAATTTTTCTTCGTAATATTTTTATTATATATTTATTATAAAATTATATTTATAATAAATATAATTGGTTGGTTGGTTGGTTGGTTGGTTGGTTGGTTGGTTGGTTGGTTGGATAAAGTGTACAAAGTGTATCGATAGTTTTAAAAATTAATTATATGATAAAGGTAAGGATTTTCATTACCGCAACGTAAGTTTGATCTCTTTGCAATTCGGCTAAATTTTCACTTAAGCCTTCGAGTAAAGCTCTTCTAAGATTTTCCGTATTATTTTCGCAACTACTACTTTCTAATTTCGCTTTCTCTGCAAGTGCAGTCAATTGCCTTTTAACATTAACTGCATATTCTAAATTTCTAAAGTGTAAGAAATTTTCTTGGCACCAGGACTTTTTTTGTGTGGCCTTTACGTAATGTCGATAAACATTTAAGAGTGTCACATGATCACCTTCGTCGGAAGAGAATCTGAAAGAAAATTAACAGGTAGCGGTAAAATGAGGTAAGGAGGTAAATAAACAATTAGTGTTAAAAATTTTTTGTTTCGAGTACAATATAATATATTTTAGAACATATAAAACAAATCGAATATTGTGGATATTGATTGAAATTTTAATCAAGCTTGACATTTTGCACAATATGAGCACGGCATTATTATAGATATTTGATAAGTTATAATAAGTTTTCACGACGCTTCATTAGTGAAGAAGAAACTTAAGAAAATGTAAATAAATAGAGACGCACCTCGATCTGACTGCCATTGCTTGTTGTCGTTTAGCTACTGGATCGAGAAAAATATTCTCGCCTGACAAAAGTGCTATCACAATTAAAGCTTCCTCTAAGCAATTGTGCTCTGTAGATGCGAGAATTACTTTTGTAAATCTTGGATCAAGAGGAAATAACGACATTGTTCTACCAAGAGCCGTTAGTTGAGGTGGTGAACCTTGTAAAGAAATTGCTTCATTAATGCAATATAATATTTTACCTTGAATCTTGTATTTATCCAACAATTATTTTTCATTCTAAAGAATATATTTATCTTACATAGCTTTATAATGACTTTGTCTATGTCTCGAGATCAACATAATGGATGCACAATGTAAAATAAACTGATATTCTTATTTAATGTTTATAGCGTGTATTACAATGTGCTTATGACTTTGTAAAAGCTTATGCAAGAGAAACGAGACAGAGGCAGATTCTTTTGCAATTACCTTTCACTGCACCTAATTTTTCTAGGCAGGCCACTGCGGTATTAATAGCGTCATCGGGTGGCTTATCCATAAAGTCAAACGTTGTAATATCAATTCCTATAACAAGCAATTGCAGCGCAATGCCAGCAAGAGAGCATCTTTGTATTTCTGGGATAGGCATTTCTTTGAACTTTTCAAATTCTTCCAATGTATAGGTTCTATAGCATTTGCCAGATGCTTCTCGACCTGCTCTACCCGTCCTTTGCCAAGCTTGTGCCTTAGATACTTTTTCTATACGCAATATGTCCAGTCCCGTTGTCGGATGATGCGTCTTTTCTTTGACGACACCGGTATCAATGACACTTCGAATTCCTATTTAAGTAAAGAGAGCGCAGAAATGAGTGTGGTCGGTCGATTTAAATGAGCGATAGATGGTAAAGAGAAAATTGTAAAGTTAAGGGAAAAATGAAGTAGTAAATTTAGAATACCACTAATAGTGACAGAGGTCTCCGCAACATTTGTAGCTAAAACCAATTTTCTCATTCCTGGGGGCGAGGGCTTAAATGCCTCGAGTTGTTGATGCGTCGATAGTGCCGAGTAAAGAGGAAATACCTTAAGTTGAGGATAACCTTTACCATCCAATTGCTTCGCTACTTGTCTAGCCGCAACAGCTGCAGCTTCAATTTCCTCTTGACCAGTTAAAAATATCAATATATCTTCGCTAAAATAAATACGAAATTATAGAATAAATTTAGCAACAGAGAACCCTATAAAAGATATAATTACTTTGCTGGAGATTCTCTATGTATTTGAAAGGCTGTGACAAGGGCAGAAAATGTATAATCGTTTTGTGATTTCTTTGTATGATACATTTTGACCATATGCTGTCGTCCTTCTAGGTATATGGCCGGGGCTTGGAAATACTTTGTAAACTTATCGACATCGATCGTAGCGGACATTACTATTAATTTGAGGGGCGATAAGCTCTTAATATTTCTTAGCTTTTGAGCTCTTCTAGTGACGCCCAGTAGCACATCCGTTTGCACCGATCTTTCGTGCGCTTCGTCCAATATTATGATAGAATAATCGGACAAGACTTCGTCGGTCATTGCTTCCCTAATCATCATGCCACCCGTAAGATATTTTATTCGAGTTTGAGGCGACGTCACATCTTCGAAACGAACGCAATATCCAACCAGTTTCCCAGGTGGGACGTTTTGCTCCTGAGCCACTCGACGAGCTATGCTCACAGCCGCTACTCTTCGTGGCTGCGTTATACCAATGCAGCCCGACGATCCAGCCATACCCGCTGACAAAAGCAGTTGAGGAATTTGAGTAGTTTTCCCGCTACCAGTTTCGCCAATAATAATAAGCGTATTGTTTCTTCTAATTTCCTCCAATAATCTACAAAAAGCTCATGTTAATTATCGACTTGACTATTCTATTAAAATTATATATTAAAATTAATTTGTATAAAATTGTGGTCGATTTGGAACTTGATTAAAGGCACCTTCCCAAACAGTTGCGACAACATTACCCGAATATCATGTCAACCAGCAGCGTCACCACGAAACAATTACCTATTAACATTAACGATGACAATTTGTACAATTTTCACAGACATTTTCACATGGTTTCATCCACTTTTTGACCTTGTACTACTATTTAAAAAAAAAAACATTACCACCTGCCACTATCCAAAGCTCTATTGTCTAGCTGCGGAAATAGCTTTATAGAAAATAAATTTACATAAAATTCATCAACTATTCAAAGTTAATTTGAATCCCATCTTAATCCATTTCCCCCAATGCTATTGCCTCGCAACAATAACAGACAATTGTTTCCATTAGAAGAAAGAAAAACAACTAAAGTCCCAAGAGAAGGTGCCGGGGTGCGGGTTCTGCATACCTTTTGCTTAGCTTATAAACCGGCAGCTGCTTGCGCTGCTGCTGTAAACTAATGCTGATCTTATCGGTAAATTCCGAATGTTGCTGAGCACCTCCTTGCTCCCGCTGCGTCGACGTCTGATCCTCGTGTTTCAGAAGCTTGCTTGGACTGTCGTTCAATACGACGACATTCGACCGTTTTACGGCGAATTTTGAGAAACTCGATCCACTACCCATTAGACTGTATTTCGAGTCGGCGTTGTCGTGCACCCCCATGACTTCCCAAATTTTCAAAGTGCCAAAATATATTTATACCCAGTGTAGATAGGGTGGCGAGCCACAAAATCAAATCGTCCACGACTGGCTAGGCCCTCTTAAATCCTTCCGCTAGATCCTTCGTTAAATCATTATCATTACATCCGTTTTTCGTTCCCTCTACCCACCATCCGTCTTCCCAACACATTCTGTTCTTCGACAAACCCAATGGAGTTGCAAACTTTCTGTCACCAGATGGCCACGTCCCCACCACATCTTTCCACATTTTCGAATGCCATGTTAATTGAATGACAGGATCGGTCTACAAAAGCCTTTAACACGTTATTCGTGAATTCGTATATTCGGCACGTGACCGAGGCAACGAAAACTTACGGACTCGGCTACAGCACTTGGGGTAGGGATGATCGACTATGATACTCTCTACATTCCTAGAAATAATCTTGCGTATGATAAGATACGCGAATAATGGTTCTTGGTGGTCTCGTACGCGCGCGAAATTCTGACTTTGGATATTCGACATCAAATTTTAATCTCGCGACATTAAATTATTTTCAAATTCTTATTTAATTTTTTTCTTCTTCTTCTTCTTCTTCTTTTTTCTTTTATTTTATTATTATTATTATTATTATTATTATTATTATTATTATTTTTTTTTTTTTTTTTTTTTTTTTTTTTAAAAGGGAACC